AATTCAGCTGCGCATTATAGAAATAAATTGTATTTTAAGGTTGATTAAAATAGGAAACCATTATTTTAAATTGTAATAATATTTCACAATATTAATTTTTTTTCTGTATTTTTGATCAAATAAATGCAGCCTTGATGAGCATAAGAGACTTCTTTAAAAGACATTAAAAATCTTACTGATCCCAAACTTTTTAACTGCTGTTCAACACAGACACACACACACACACACACACACACACACACACACACACACACACACACAACTATCCCTTTAATGTATTTTATTTAATTATTTTAATTTTAATAAGAACAGATCAATCTTATAAAATTAACTTATTTTGAAATTCTCATATACAGTAGTATGTCATACTCATGTTTAAAAAAAAAAAAGTATTTAATTTAATTTAAATGATTTTCACGCAATCCATTACTGGTTTTTACTGGATTGCTAGTGTTATTTTACTGGATACTGGAGTGCTCAACTACAAAATTACTCAAATTGCCCGTCTCAAATCTCCATTTAGCGTTCTCTCCACCCTTTTTTTCCCCTCCTGCCCTTGTCTTTCTTTTCTTCCCCTGTCTTTTCCCTAAGCCACCCCCAGTATGGCAGATAATAGCAGCGGCTCCACCAGTGCGATGCAATACGCTCAGCCCTGTAGACCACAGCTGCTCCTCAGAAAGGATGGGTGGGGGCGGGAGGAGGCCTGCAGAGCCCTGATGGAGACCTAAATGAGACCGCAATAAAAACCTCATTCAACCCACCAGGGCCGAGAGCTGCTGCTTCAGGCCGAGGGTAACCAACACTGAGCTGCCAATTCCTAAATATACACTACCCTCTCAAATAAAGTGCTTTGTTCTCTCCCAGCTCGTGTTTATCGACTCGTGCCCTTTGAGGCTCCTTAATGACGTGTATGTTAAAGGCTAGATGGTGCGATGATTCTGTGTATTGGGAAAATCTTTCTGGAATTACCGTCTAGCTAATGTGAGGTCTGCCCGGAAAAATGCCCATCTACGTTTTCACAAAAGGATTTATTTCCTATAAACATCCTATTCGGCAGATGCTTAGATGGGATGCACTTGACTGTCCGGTCATTTAATACCCACATGAGCTGTTTTGTTGATGATTTAGCTGTTTGTTCGAAATGCTTTTTTGTCCATTGCGAGCGGTCAGGATGCTTATTCTCTCAGTGATGTCGGATAATCAGAGCGTCATTGCTGGATTCTTTGATCTTGAGATGACTTTGAAAATATGGCTTTTTTCATTAAAGATCCTATTCTGCTCCGGCTTAAGATACATTACCTTGAAGCTATACTGAAAAGATTGGCTGACGTCTGTCCTCGGCGGTAGCTTTCACATGACTCAAAAGAAGAAAAAAATCACAGATTTTTTTATTCAAAATGACAGATGTCATTCATATTTGAGAATCACATTAATGCTGCAGTGTCAAACCCTCAGTCAGTCTATTATGACATTTGGGAGCAAGTGTTCAATAGACCTTCGATCGTTCAGATGAATTCTGATTAGTGCTGTTGTTGATGTCACACGACTTATTGATTTTACAAAGTATTAATAATTCAGGAGGGCACGTCCAGAGACATCACATACAGTGATGGAGCAACAGGAGAAGATTTTTAAAAAGATAATGCAGACCTCATATTTGTGCCACCGGAGTCAGAAACTATTTATTTATTTATTTTATTTATTTATTTAAATGGTCAAATCTCTTGAAATAAACTTATTTTGAAATTGCTATAAGGTTTAAGTCTTATGTTTGTGAATAAAACACGATATAATTTCTCCTGCAGTATGCATTATACTTATATTTTTAACATTTTAATTTGAATTGTTTTTAAGTAAGCCATTACTGGTGTTATTTTACAGACCTCGTACTCACAACATACAGAGTTTATTTTTCTTTCTATGTATTTATTTATTTATGAAATTAACTTATTTTGAAACTCTTATAAGGCTGATGTAGTAGGATTATATTTGTGAATAAAACAATATAATTTCTCATGTAGAATGTGTCATACTCATATTTTTTGTCATTTTAATTTAAGTGATTTTCAAGCAATACATGACTGGTTTTTGCTGGATTACTAGTGTTATTTTACAGATATTGTACTCAGACCACAAGAGTGGTCTATTAATATTTATTTATTATACGGAAAGAGATAAATCTCCTGAAATTAACATTTTGAAACAGTTATAAAGGTGATGTAATCCAATGTTTAATCGAATATAATTACTCACGTAGAGTGCATCAATCAGATTTGTATTTTTTTTACATTTTAAGTGATTTCCAAGTAATCCATTGCTGGTTTTTACTGGTGTTATTTTACAGCTCTTACTTGGACCACCAGAGTCAGGACCTATTTTCTATGGAACATGTTTGTTCCTCCATACTTTTTTTATTTTATTTTTTAATTTTAGCGTCACTTTGATCCACTTTAGCCTAATAGCAGTGCTGAGTTTAGTTTACTTTGACTTCTGGTGGGAGTAATCAGATTACAGACCTCATTCAAATGATTTATTTCAAGAATCCTCTGTATTTATGTTCACTGAATAAACAGAGAGAAATCTTTTCAGACGTTAATGTTTAATCGAATATAATTACTCACGTAGAGTGCATCAATCAGATTTGTATTTTTTTTACATTTTAAGTGATTTTCAAGTAATCCATTGCTGGTTTTTACTGGGTTACTGGTGTTATTTTACAGCTCTTACTTGGACCACCAGAGTCAGGACCTATTTTCTATGGAACATGTTTGTTCCTCCATACTATTTTAGCTTCACTTTGATCCACTTTAGCCTAATAGCAGTGCTGAGTTTAGTTTACTTTGACTTCTGGTGGGAGTAATCAGATTACAGACCTCATTCAAATGATTTATTTCAAGAATCCTCTGTATTTATGTTCACTGAATAAACAGAGAGAAATCTTTTCAGACGTTTAAAATCACTTGTCGTGTCACGAGCAGATCCTCAAAACAGTGCCAGTGTGGGAGAATCAATAGAATTGAGCCGAGCGTTAATTAGGAAACTGTTCCTCAAGAGAAATGAGAAAAAAAATCAATATGGACATAATAACATTCACCAGTTCTTCTTCACAACAAAAGTAGACGATTGTGAAAGTCATTCATCTATTTGGTAAAGCACTGTCATATGTATTTGGAAGGTATTGCTGACCTTACAAGTTTCATTCTGCCCAGATCTCACTTTATTTATAGTTATTAAGCTCATATTGCCATGTCCCTGGGAAGTGACTAAATTGTGATTTAAGTAGTTAATTATCATTGGTATTTCCTGAGTACATATCAGATTTTAGCTTCAAATATTTTACATTTATTCATGTAGCCTAAAACTTTATTAAATACATAGCAACATCACAAACCCTTAAAATGACAGGTTTAATGCTCACACGTTCCAGATGGGATTGTAATGTCACTGTAGCTCATTTAGGGGGCAGCAGTGGGAACTGAGGCTGTTTAGTTCTTTGCTGCTCCCTAGAGTTGCATAGAAGCTATTGCATGATAAACATGAACACAAATGCTATTTGTCTGATTGATAGTTTATACTTTTTTTTTAGCATGTAAAATGTCTTTTAGTAAAATTGTGTGTTCACTTTCAGGTTGTGGTACACTGCTGTGAAATCTTTAATGATTTTCATGAAGCAACCAACATTATACGTAGATAACATCTGCACCAAATTGCATATTTTTTGCTAGTTTGGGTCTCTAAATGAAGCTGAGGTCTATGAGGAGCATGAGCTCCTTGTTCTCACTACATCATACTGCACCAGCCATAAAAGCCTGATGTATCAAATATGATACAAAACAAACTGAAACAATACTAGTGGACTATTGCACAAGGCATTGATATTGTGTTTTATAAAAGCCCGTGAGATGTAAGGAATTGCTTGCTTGGACTCAGACCCAACAACCTGACTACCTTCTGTCATTTATCTTACATTTCACATCAGTTATCTGAGTCTTCACAGAATCAATGTTCTTAATTTGTGATGTGAAAGTCAATGATACAACAACAACAACAAAAAGACAATACCTGCTCTCTCTTTTTCTTTCTTTTTTCATGTCTCATAGAGATACATTGGGGATCCTATTATGAACATGCAACAATTGTTTTCAAATGAAGGAAAGTTTATTGTGATTTCATGAAACGAAACAGTAATGCAGTGTTTAATGCAAATTTAAATGCACATTTAGACAGGATTAGGATCTAAATGACAAAATGTATTCAACAGTGGTCAACACGTTCAATGCGAACCGGAGTAAAATCAATAATGAATGTTCCATTAAAGTGTTATGAATTAGATCCCCTCTTTATCTATACACTCTTAAAAATTAAGGCACCCAAAAGGGGTTTTCGAAATGATTCCTTAGAAGAACCATTTTTGGTTCCCCAAATAACTTTCAATGATCAGTTCTTAAAGGGATAGTTCACCCCAAAAATTAATTACTCGCACTCATGTCGTTCCAAACCAGTAAGACCTTCGTTCATCTTCGGAACACAAATTAAGATATTTTTGATGAAATCCGAGAGCTTTCTGACCCTCCATAGACTACCACGTTCAAGGCCCAGAAAGATTGTAAGGACATCGTTAAAATAGTCCATGTGACATCAGTGGTTTAACCGTAATGTTACGAAGCTTAATGACTTATTTGACGAGTTGTTGTTTTTACTTTCTTTGTGCACAAAAAGTAATCTCATAGCTTCATAAAATTAAGGTTGAACCACTGATATCTTAATTTGTGTTCCGAAGATGAACGAAGGTCTTACGGGTTTGGGATGACATGAGGGTGAGTAATTAATGACAGAATTAAAATTTTGGGGTGAACTATCCCTTTAAAAGAACATTTTTCCACTATAAAGAACCTTTTGTGGAACAGACATTTATCATGGATGTTAACGGTTCTTCATGGGAACACAGATGCCAATAAAGAACCTTTATTTATAAGAGTGTACATGCCGACAAGGTGGATTTGGAATATTTGTGGGATTGACGGGATTTATTCGGCACTTTAGACTAGTCTACACGTTCACCTCCATATAGCCTGGTTCTCCTGTGCTACAGAGTTTGGCGTTATGAGCCCAGCAAAGATGGACTTCTTGAGTGTAGAAGCGGTACTCATTCGACTGTCTAGCTTCTCTCTTTCCTCCTTACACCTCTTGAGGCAGTCGGTACACAAGCAGTCTTCCCGAACTAGATACAGACACTCCACTCTCTGGATGCGGTCCACCTCTGGAGGCTCGTCCGGAGGGATGGGGTTGGCTTTGAAGTTCAGCCTTTGCAGCTTTGGGAGGTTTTGGATGCACTTGGGCAAATGTGTCAGGAGGTTGTTGAAGAGCCCCAGTTCCTGAAGCTCTTTGAGACCAGCCACAGGTGGAGGTAGAGTCTCGATGCGGTTCATTCCCAGGTTGAGGATACGTAGGTTCCTCAGGAGCCCTAGCTCATGCGGCAGGCCAGAGGTAGTCAGATGGTTGTTGCACAGGTTGAGGCTGTGGAGGTTATGCAGACGGCCGATTGCTGCAGGAACCTGCTCCAGATGGTTGCTGTGCAGGTCGAGCGAGCGGAGGTTCACAAACTTGTCGATGGTGTCTGGGATTTTCTTGAGAAGGTTGCGGCTGAGGTCCAGCTCCTCTACGTCGCAGAGCTTCAGGATGCACTTTGGAAATGTGGCGATCGCCATGTTACTGAGGTCGAGGCGACGCTTACCATCTACGGTCACCTTCAGAGCGTTCTTGGCCATCTTGAGTGTGATTTTTCTACCGGATGGTTCATTTGATTTCTTCTTCCCTTTCACCATTGTGTCTATAAACAAAGCAACATTGTTTATGTTTTTTACCCTATTTATGAACAATACAACACACCTTGTTTTAATCAAATTCTAAGGCAACAACGCATCTATCATTAGTGAAGAAATCAATCCCATAATGCACTGACAAAGTTCACCTAAAATGGTGGATGCGGTTAATATTCAAATGAAAATGTACTATGTGACCCCAATACTGTGTGTTTTCTAGTGTACTGCGGTAGGGTTAAAGGCACACCTGAAGGAAAATCTGAAGAGTTCATTTGCAAAAACCGATAAATGCCACTTTAAAAAAAAAGAGAGCTGATTGCCGTGCATTATTCTCCACATATGGCACGATCTGAACCCTAAACACTTTTTGTCATAAAAGCCGGTTTTGTCCACTTTCAAGGCATCGCGAGTTCTCGTTTTACTGCAGAAGCCAAGCGCTCTTTTTGTTTTTGAACAGAAGCCGATAAATCCATTTTAGCGAATCAGCACGCTGTATTCGGGTCAGGTGACAAGGCTACTTTTGTGCTAGCTGAGAGGAGTTTCGTCAAAGTTGACTAAAAGTGATCGAGGATGGATCATTTCGATTAACTTGATGAACCTGTGATATCTTCTTCAGAGCGAAAAAGGAAAATAAAAGCTGAAACGTTTTTACGGAAGCTTGCATAAGCTGCGTGTTACAATGATGAGAGAAAAGCTCCATGTATTGCGTGTAATCACATCCATACAGTTTATGATCACAACAACAACAACGTTTGTCAGGCGTCTACATTCTCATCTGAGGAGATTACACAGATTCAACAAGTGTTTTAAACTCTAAAACATGAAATGTGGAGTTATCTGCTTTTGCTATAAAACACACTTTTAATATGTAAAAAAAAACATACTTTCAATGAACTTTAATTTTGTAAATTACCTGTAATTGTTTAAGTTATTATTACTTAATCAAAACAACCCAACTGCAGTTTGATTGATATTACTTGGAATGCGCAATAAAAAACGTGATTTCTGAAAAAATAAAAAAGATCGTTATCGGTTTTTGCAAATTAACTCCTCATCTGTTTTTCACTACTACCATGTATTATTGAAAACAAAATATATTTATTTTTATTGAACATTGATAAAGCAACATATTTTGTGTGAAAAGTAATCATAAAATCAGGTTGTTTTCTATATAAAAAATGAATATATAATGTAAAAAGCTCACAGCATGGGGCAACATTCCTCCAGTATTGGTACAAATACTTAATAGCAAATATATATATATATATA